CTGGGCGGAGAGAGGCGGGTAGAGGATTCCCCCCCCCACGTTTTCGGCTTGAAAGTGCAGCTCAGGTGCTTTAACTGTGTAAAGGAAAGGAACTGGTTTAAATACCCTATGGAAATAGCTGGAAAGTTTGAATCTTTTTCTTCAGTGGAAAAGTTGTTTTTTCTTGGAAGTTTGCTAGCTTTGATGCAAACTAGCACTTGACTGAGTTATTTGAACAGGGTGCCTAGCTGGATTCAGTGGATTATTTTTTGCCTTTTGCCCTGCCTTTGTGGATTACTTTTGCTTTCTATTTGGATATCTCTTTAATGGATCTGGTTACTGGAATAACAAATAACATCTCTCCTTGGTAGAGTCCTTTTGAATGCTCCTTTTGAATGCTTAAGGGATTGGGACTTTCCTGTTGAAGAGAAATAACATATACCCCTTTTGTGGATCTATTGGCTATATTTTGTGTTCCTATAAATTGGAAAAAATTTGGAACCCCAAGAAGATAAAGGTCTTGGAAACATAATTTCCTCTGTGTGGTATGTAGAAATAGATAAAAGTTTGTGGTGTGTTGAACAGAAATATATAAAATTATTTTATAAGTTATTAGAGACGAAAATGCAGGATGAGGTGGTAAAAGAAGCAATGATTAAATGGGCACAAAACATAGGTCATGACATACAACTAGAACAATGGGAAAAGGTATGGAAAGTTAACATAAAGCTCACTAAAGCTGTGTCTTATAAAGAAAATATATACAAAATGTTTTATAGACGGCATATGACACCTGAAAACTTAGCTAAATGGTATCCAAGTATGTCAAATGTATGTTGGAAATGTAAACAAAAAACTGGCTCTTTCTACCATATGTGATGGACATGTGATATTGATAAAAAATATTGGATATGGATACATGAGATAGTACAAAAAATACTTGACACAAATGTACCATTCATACCAGAATTGTTTTTATTAAATATTGTCCCGTAAAATTTTAATATACAAGATGTATATATGATTATACAAATTGTAACTACAGCTAGAATTTTATATGCAAAATATTGGAAAAAAGAAGAGACACCGACAAAGGAAGAACTAATTTCCCGGCTGTTAGATGTAGCAGAAATGGACAAATTAACTTTACAATGTCATGAAAAACAAGAAGGGAACTTTGAAAGAAAATGGGCGAGATTTTATAATTGGATGCAAAATTATCTTGGAGAACAAATTATGAATCTCAATAAAAACCTTATAGACATGGCGTAGAAGACTTAGAGTCTATAATTACATTGTAACTAAAGCTGATGTATGAGTATAGTATCTATTCTGGTAGATGTTTTCTATTCTGTTTCTTATGTCTTCTCTTTTTGTTTTCATTTTTCTGTAGTATCTTTCTATGAAACTAATAAAACCTGTTTATAAAACAAATGTAGCTTGCAAGTAGAAAAGTCAGTAAATAAATAAATAAATGTCCAAACTGTTTATCCTATAGACTTGTGCTTCTTCCCTCTTCCATCTCCATTCTACAAACTGCAGACACACATCCTTCTACAGATAGAAAAAATCCTCAAAGAGAACACACATTAGATAAAGCCATTCCCCATGTTCCATAGTCACCATTTTCAAGGACACCACAACAGAAATTGTGCTTCTCTATTTTGGGAGTGTTCTGGCTGTGTTGAATCACAGCTCCAAAGATCCAAATGTAAAAGAAAAGGCAAGCTGTATACAAGCGCTATACAAAATCAATGCTCAAAAAACATGGAAAAAAGCTTTATAGTGCTGATATCAAACCATGTAAAAATGACAATGATACAAAGAAGAAGGAAGGGAGGTCCAAAAAAGTGCAGGCTGACAAAGCTTTCCGGAATACAAGTTCGTTTCGACTGGCTTCATCTGAACAGGATCTCGTGGAACAATAAGATGTCTTCTAAGTTTCATTCATCATAGAGTATGAGAGCGAAGATTATATGCTTGGTGCTATGTTATACAGAGACATTCAGGAAGGAGGGCACAGAAGACTTTTTTCCATGTTTTTTGAGCACTGATTTTGTATAGCGCTTGTATACAACTTGCTTTTTCTTGCATCTGACTGTGTTGAAAACATTGAGAAAATGAGAACAATAAAAGAAGGGGAGTCAGCACCATTCATAATACAAGATACGATCTTACCAACATTGCTACAGCCATGCCAACTACCTAACACAAAGAGGCACAAAACATGGCTGCAGACAGTATCCTATCTGCCTCTTGCAGCCCTTGAGATCTGAAAGCTGAAGTCAGGATACCCTCCAGTGCATCTTCCAGACTGAGAAAGAGGGAGCCAGAATAGCCTCACATCACTTACTATGGCTGAGGTGGCAAAGAGTTCAAGGACTGAATGCAAGGGGGAAGAAGCCAGAGGAAGGCAAGTGGATGACAACTCATTATTAGCTTGCAAGGAATTTCTGAATTCTTTATGAAATCCATCTTGAGTCCTCCTGGGAACAAGAATTCATATACATGGAAAACCATCTGTGTGTAAAATTATTGTATTGCAACCTGACCTCATAGGATAAGGCAGGGTACCAATCTACATCTATGAACAAATCATAAACTAAAAGGGGAAAAAATTAAAATATATTGGTTCTCTCCCCCCCCCCCAAAAAAACAAATCTGATAAGAGCTAAGCACATTTTTCTGTGGCAATGAAACTAATTAGTCAATATTTTTACACTGTGTTTCTATAATTCCAGATACCTGGCTACCAAACAGATACCTGGCTACCAACCTACTACACACATTAAAGAGCTTCAAATGCATGTTTCTCTCAGGAGTTTCTCTTTGCAAACAGCATGCCCAGCTGTATCCTGTATGTACCCAATCAAGAACTGAGACTTCCAGGGACTCAGAGTTTCTCTCTTACAGTTAAATGCCAAGATCTACAAACTTTTGCATAATTACATCAATAAAAGCGTCTGCAGCTGCCTGGAATGAATTATGTTCGCAGCAAATTGCAGAGCTTGTACTGCAAACTGGCTATGGGTGGGAAGGCTTTCAGTACATGCTCAGAGGAACCCATGGAGTGAGAACAGGCTCCCATATTGGCAAAGAACCAACAATTTGCCAGTGTAATATTGCTGTAGGTCTGTTTGTGTAGGAAGGGAGAAAAACTGCTCCTTTGGCAGAAGGAAAATGCCAGATTTTTCCTCTTCCTTCCTGCAGGGCTTTTCCAGAAATAGTACTATGCTGCCTAACTGCAAAAGCACAGTGTAACAGCAGAAAAAGTAATCCTCCCTTCTATCAAATTATCTGTGCATGCCATGGGACTCAAAGGAAGGGAGGATCACTAGAAACCCACACATAACGTCTGGTTTAGTAAGCCAAAGCAAAAATTGGGGGATGACTGCATTTTGGTCAAGCAATTCCAAAGAGAGAGAGAGAGAGAGAGAGAGAGAGAGATTGAGACTACAGTCATCCAGCTTTTTTAAAAAAAACTGGAACTACAGTTTAACTACAGTTATCCAACTTAAAAAAAAAAAAACGATCTAACCTATCATATGCCCCATGACAAGCCCTCAAGATGATGTATGGGAACAAGTCACATTAATCAAAGATCAAAATATTAATCAGCCATTAAGAACATCTAACCTCAACTAAAAAAACAGAAAACCAACGTGTCAGACAACAGTAGCATACTGAAGAGATCCATATACCTTCTACAACTACATTAACTTTTAGATAATTGTAAAGAAAGAAACCACCTAATTAATATGAGGAGAAATTCATACAAAAAACACCACCATCATACATTTCCCTAAACAATTACAGTCCTGTTGTTCTTCCTACATTCTTAAAAGTCGTATCAGAGTGCTCACTTTGTAGGTACTTCTGTCTGTTGGCTATGACTAATGAAAACAAGTAAGTTTTCCATTGACCCTCAGTGGAAAGAATTTTTATGCTTCAAGCTATAGTGGGAGATATATTGGACACTTCTGAGTCAAGGTGTTCTTCTATATTCCCTTTAGGTAGTCTACAAAATATTTTGCTTAACAGCTATGCAAGAATCTATACAGTAGTCCTGTACAAACACTCAGGCCTTCTTCCATCTGTGCCCTCTGCACAACAAGTGTGACCCTCTTCAGCCAGACTGACAGCAATTTGCCTTATGTTCTCCCGTTTGTTGGCTGGAATGTGCTCCCTGAGGAGGTTTGCCCTCATTACTGTCTTTCCATGGGCAATGTAAGATAGTCCTTTTTCAAAGAGATTTCCTCTTTGAGCTTGGAGGCTGCTGCTTTACCAATATGAAGTTTTGAGATATTTTGGTTGGATTTGACTCTCTTGAATTTTTTGGTGATTTTTAAGGTACCATGTTTTTAATGGCAATATTAACCACCTACAGCACACAGAGAGGCAGGATATATATTTTCATATAACTGCCTGACACATGTATACATAGTTTATCACTGAGTTTGTAACAGGGAAACATGACCAGCATAGCAAGGCCTGCAGCACCCCAGTGAAAGCAATAGGATGAAGTCACTAAGGCCCACTTCACATTAAATGTGAACAAGGAGGTCACGTGGAAACAATGTGAAATGACTTCAATATAGCTACTTAAAGCTGCATCTATACGGCAGCGGCTGAACTCAGAAGCCCATCTGTGTGAGACAGCTCCATAGATTAGCCAGTTTCAGGTGACTTGTTTGCACTCTGCTATCAATATTTCCGCCAGTGGTTTCTGATAAACCAGGTGGCTGCAACTGATCCACATGGCAAGCCACTGAACACAAACAGCTTGTGTATGACACAGCAGCTGCCAAACAATTTCATATGAACTCCGACATGACAGCTATTTCATGTTAAGGGAGAAAAAGAGCCCTGTAAGTAAAGAAATTGAGATTTTTACATTAAAATGAAATCTCTAGTAGTAACTGCTAGCACCTAGAGCAGAAGGTGAACAAACAGTCAGGAAATAGCTGTAATATACTTCAGCATCTTCTGAATAAAAGGTTAGTTGAAATTCACCTTCCTACCTGATTTGGGATTTAAAGAATCACACTGCGCGTTATACATATGAACAAACTCTTGATGTCTTTTAATGAGTTGTTGTTTTGTTCCATGGGTAGATAGCCCATACTGCTTCAGTCTTTTCCTCAGATCACGGTCAGAAAGCAAGTTGTATACCACCTTAGGCAGGAACCTTCTTTTCTGTCCAGAGCTGGAAGAATAGCAACACAAACTTTATAAAAGTTCTCCTTTATGGCACTCAAGCAAATGCAGTGTCCAGCCCCCCCCCCCATGTTTAATTATGAACAAATCACTATCAAAGTTCATACAGGCTTTAAGGCCCAGCCTGTAGTAGGATGAATGCAGAGAGAGTGGAAAAAATCACAGTAAGAAACATTTCTTTCTGCTATTTTTCCTAAGAGTTTCTTCTAACAGTACTTTGCCTCATTTGACCTATCTGACTGGCCCTTTCATTTCTTAGTAGGTTTAGCCTCCACTTTTCACCACCTTCAACAAACAGATTGTTTCAGTCCCCAATATACAGAAACATCAGACTCTTGGATTCAGATTCATTCCCGCTCCAATTATTTCCATCCTGCAGGCAATCCCTCAGTACACCCAGGGTATGACACCATCCGGAATCTGCAGACCCACCCACAACACGCTAATGGCTTCTCTCCCTTCCTCCCCACCCAATGCGTTCAGTTTTTACACTTCTGAGCTTGATGCTCTAAAGTCATTACAAATAATGCAGCCATGGTCTCATACTGAATACAAATTCAATAGTCTTCTAGCTGTATACCAAAAGAGAGGGGTTTTTTTCTTTTTCATTTGGAAGCTTGGTTTCTTGGCATGCAAACCTAAGCTTATTATACTAAAAAATAAAGTTAAAAATGTATCCAAAACAAGCTTGATGACCATTTTAATTACTTCATTTTAACTACTGTAATCTTTGTTCTCTGTAGCGCAGGTGGTGAGAGGATGCATTTCCTCTCCAGAAGAGAGTTGTTTAAGATTCTGGTAGGAAGCATAAACCTTTCAGTGGATAATTATATCATAGTTCTTCTGACAATCCTACAGCATATGTGAAATAGTAAATGAAAGAGAATTTGCTTGAGAAAGCCAGCCGGTGAAGGCTGTAGAACTATTCCCTCGCATGCCTGGACTGAGAGATCAAAAGCAGGCTGGGGGAAAAGGATTCTACCAGGGTCAGTCCCGTTGCACATTTTCAAAGACACCCACTCCGCCACACACACAGAAAAGACATTTTAGAAAATGTATTAACCATTATCAAACATTGATAAAAATGCCAGCCAGACATTATGCTTCTTAAGCAGAGGGCACTGCCGGAGCACTTTTCAGAGGCATCGTTACAGGCATTAATGAATTAAGACATCATGCCAAACCCATCCTTTGAGCCATAGGCGTAATCTTCGTGGGGGCGGCGGGGCCTCAGCCCCCACCGAAATTTTGAGGAAGGTGCTCAGCCTCCCCCGGGGCAGGGGTCTTTTGGCACCGGCAGCCCAGGAGCGAACAAAATTGCGGTGGCGGCAAGCCCCGCCACCAAGTGAATTCTCTCTAAAATTGCGCTGCCTATGCAGCGCGACTCCTCCCCTTCTCCAGGGCTATTTTTGGGCTGAAAAGTGTTCCGGCTGACTTCCGAGCCCTCCCCTCCCCTCCCCTCCCCTCCCCAAAAGTGGCTGCGTTCCCTAAAAGCCAAACCTGTGGAGCACGTGTCAGTTAGCAGATGAAAGGGGCTCCTTCGGGCCAGCCCCGCCCCGCCCAGCCCACCCACCCTTCCCCAGGAGGCAAAAAGTTCCAGCCGCTGGGCAACAAGTTTGGCGGTGAAGACTGCCCTGCAGCTGGCCGAGAGCGAACCCTTTCCCTGCTGCGCCTCCGGAGGGGGGGGAGCAGCTGGGCTCCCCAGAGAGCTCCCGCCTTGACTCTTGCTGCTGCTTCCCCGTCTCCTCGTCGGCTGGTGCCAGAGAGCAAAGGCTCTTCTCCTCCGTCTTCCCTGGAAAGGGTTAGAGCGAGTGAGCTGCTTGAGGTCCCCAGGGTTGTTTAAAAAAAAAAAAGTATGAGGGAGGGAGGGAAGTCAGGGCTTGCTTCCTGGAAGCCCTAAGCTCCACCCCCAGCTCCCAGAAGTCCTCAGTTGGGGCTGGTGGAGCTGCAAGCTGCACAGGGTTTTAGTTCATTCAGAGTTCCCGCGCAGAAAGGTAAGGAGCTGGCCCAGCGAGGGTGGGAAGGGTAGAGGGTGCCCAGGCTGGCTGTGGCTTTTGTAGCCGGAGGAGAGCTTGCCCCTGGGCTATGGAGGCTGCAGCCGGTCTCTGGGGATTGCATTGAGCAGCCACGTGCCATTGTTATTGTTTCCTCAGCTTGGGAAGGTGGGGAGGGAGAGAGCCGCTTCCCTGCAAGATCGCTAGCTTGGGGAGGCTGGACGCCTGGAGCAGCTCTTGTTGTTTTCCCCCCTTCCTTCTGCAAAGCTTGCCTTGAGCAGCCACGTGGAGAGAGGGGAAGGGGGAGGGGGAGAGCAGGCTTCCCTGCAGGATCCCCGGCTTGGGGAGGCTGGGTGCCTTGTGCAGCCCTTGTTATTCCCCCCCCCTCCTGCAAAGCTTGCTTTGTGCAGCCACATGGGGTGGTGGTGGGTGGGGAGGGGGTGACCCAATACATATTGGGAAACTCCTGGAGTGTTGGGGATGGAGCCTGGGGAGGACTGGGGCCTCAGTGGGGCACAATGCCATAGAGTCCACCCTCCAGAACATCCATTTTCTTCAGGAAAACTGATCTCTGTAGACTGGAAATGAGCTGTAATTCCAGGGGATCCCCAGGTCCCACCTGGAGGCTGGCAACCCTAGCTCCAGTGCTGAAATTTGAAGCTCTGGATCTGATGTGTAAGTTGGCACATTTGCCAAATTACCCTGCTTAATATAGGAGGCACAACAGCCAGGTGCAGGAGGGGAGGGTGTAATTCTGCCAAAAATAAGGGTGTTTGGGTTTCTCTGTGAATTTGAGGACAGGAACTGGCAGTGAAGTGAGATTGGAAAAGAGTGTGTGGCTTTCTGATAACCCTTGTGCTACAGTAATAATTATGCAACAATACAGTTTGTTAGTCTTAAAGGTGCTACAGAGCTTTTTACTATAAGAGAGCCAATTGAGCTGTGGGTCCATCTCATGCTACTGACAGTAGTTACACATTAGGCCTTGCCCAAATGGTTCTGGGCATTAAAGTGCACTTGCCCTGTGGTGATGGAAAGTGCTAGCAAGTCATAGCCAACTCATGATAACCTTGTAAGGTTTTCAAGGCAAAAGACATTCAAGGATGATTTGCCATTGCCCGACTCTGCATCATGTCCCTGGTATTCCTTGAAGTTCTCCCATCCAAATACTAGTCAGAGCTGACCCTGCTTAGCTTCAGAAATGTGATGAGGTCAGGCTAACCTGAGCCATCTGGGTCCATGGCATGGTGCTGTGTGGGTGCTTCCCAGGCAATCATCTTCAACCTATTCTTGGGAGCCACAATGATTAGGAAAGAGCCATGTGATAGAAGTGTAATAATAATTTACTCATAGTTGCAAGAGCCCCTTCCTCAAGCCTTGCTGCTTGTCCCAACTCTCTAAAGTCAGAGCAGTTTGGCCAGTGGCAACCCTCTGCCTGTCCAGGAAGTTCAATTAAATACCACTAAAGGTTTTGTCTCCACTGCTACATCACTTAATGCATCACAATATAGGTTCATGTTCATGCTATAATTTATGATGCTTTAGTTTGGGAAGATCTGTTTTCTTAGTCACATCAGTTGGTGCTATTTCCCCCCTGTAAATTCCTCTTCCATCCCAACGGACTCTGCTGCTCACATGTTGTCTGTCAGTCCCCTCTTTATCCCACCCTTCCTCCAGTCTCCCTTCCCTTATATTGACCTCACGACAATGGCAATATCACCCAGCCTGATGAAGGGAGCTTTGACTCTTGGAAGCTTATTCCCTGAAACTCTTGTTGGTCTTTAATCTGCTACTGGACTCAAATCTAACTGTCCCAGTATCACCGAGTAAGCACCATGCAAAATATAAATCTGAACACGGGTCTCCTCAATCCACACTGGTCTTCATGCCATTGGTCCATCTACTTCAGCATGGTCTGCTCTGATGCAGATGAGCTCAGAGACTCAAACAGAGAAAGATCCTTTCCCGCACCTGTTCTCTTAGACCTCCTAGGTTTAAACTTTTATCCTTTGGCACACAAAGCATGGTCTTTCTACCATCAGTCCATCAGTGTCATCATTGTCTACTCAGACTGGCAGTGGTTCTCCAGGGTTTTATGTAGAGGATTTTGCCCATACCGTGCTTTTTTTCTGAGTCGTTGGGGTCTGGCTAGAAGAGAAGAGATTGGATTTATACCTCACCCTTCACTACCTGAAGGAGTCTCAGAGCGGCTTACATACTCCTTTCCCTTCCCCTCCCCACAACAGACACCCTGTGAGGTAGGTGGGGCTGAGAGAGCTCTTGACAGAAACTGCTCTTTTTCAAGAACAGCTGTTATCAGAGCTATGGCTTGCCCAAGGTCATCCAGCCAGGTGCAAGTGGAGGAGTGGGGAATCAAACCCGGTTCTCCCAAATTAGAGTCCGTGCACTTAACCACTACACCAAACTGGCTAGGGTGGCTCCCAAGGGTTCCCAGGCCCTCCTAAATTTCTGGAGAGCCCCTTCCTAAATCCTACATGGCTCGCCTCCATAAATAGTGACAATGGCCTGTGATGTCACTGGCTCCTCCCTATGATGTCACTGGGCCTCGGTTCTTTTAAGGACCTAGCACAGCAATGCCTCTGGCCCAGCCCCAGCCCCCCCCGGGAAATTGGAAAGTCTACGCCCTTGCTTTGAGCTAACCACAGTTTAGAGCCCAAATCATATATTGAGCTCCTACTGGAAAACAATAGATCCCATCTGGGAAAAGGTGAGAATGAAAGATGGAGCATAATTTAGCGTGTGTTGGAACTGAACTCAAGAGAAAGGGGTACAAGGAACAGAGAGAGGGAAACTGTTTAAAGTAAATATGAAAGCAAGATGACCAATTCAGCACACAATTCCATGCACAGGGAGCTACCAACGAGAGCAACCGTGCATGCAATCACTAGGTTTGTATAGATGCAGAATCATAAACACTTGCCCCAACAAAATACAACTCAATCCTCTAAACTGTATTTCTCCAGTTCTCTTTATG